CTAAGTGTATGACTAACCATCCTGTGAGATGGGGATATTATTATTTATATATTTTTTATTTATATTTACAAGAGTTCTTACATTCTTGTAAAGCCACTAACACATATAACGTTTCGGGCAAGTCCTTCATCCTAATTTTCCCCGGAATACGACCCACCAAATCGTTCACCAACCAGGAACCCATTCACTGCTGGGTGAACAGAGACATACAGTTAAAGACTGGCGCCTAGTCAATCCTCCCAGGCCAGGAATCCAGGATACGAACCCTGACCAAATTTCTTGTGAATTGTGGGGAGAGTGTTACCACTGGGAGCCAGCCGGCCGAGCGGACAGCACGCTGGACACGTGATCCTGTGGTCCCGGGTTCGATCCCGGGCGCCGGCGAGAAACGATGGGCAGAATTTCTTTCACCCTATGCCCCTGTTACCTAGCAGTAAATAGGTACCTGGGTGTTAGTCAGCTGTCACGGGCTGCTTCCTGGGGGTAGAGGCCGTGGCCGGGACCGGGCCGCGGGGACACTACAAGCCCCGAAATCAACTCAAGATAACCTAAAGAAGATGCCCCACGGGGATTGCCATTAGATGAGTTTATAGTTAGTTTTAAATGTACACTATGTAATTTTTCATATAGAATAGGGTAGCAGCACATTGCTTTGTATACCTAAGCTTGTTAATTAAAAAAAATATTAATAATTTTATTCTTCCTAGAAAAAATACACGTCCGGCGTCACTGTCTGAATGGCGGTCAGAGAAACGTCTGGATGTATTTTAATTCTCCAATAAGTCCTGGCCGTACTATATATAGCTTCTCATTGGCAGACTTGTTCGCCACCACCATACAAACTATTTATGTTATTTAATGAGTTGTTAAATATGATTTATATTGAATGAACAATGATTAACCTTCACAGTGCAGCGTACCGTATACAGGCAAGTCGATTGCAATAAAATTTGAATACAAAATTACTTGCTTTAGTGGTAATACGACTTATTTAACAAGCAATAGCTGCAGCGCCTGCATATGTGACATTATAAATTCATAGAAATAGTTGGTGTGATTTTCAGGTGTTGTCAATAGACATTCAGCAGCAGCTGCAAGCAACCTAGCAACAGCCAGCCTGCAGCACGACCTTGGTGATGGCCTTGAGAGGTCTCCAGCTTCTCCACCCAGACTTTCTCAGCGTGACAACAATACCATAAAGAGTAATGATATGTTTATAGCGAGAACTGTATGTACGGATAGTACAAGACACCCACTCACTACACAGTGTGACATTACAGTTGCCAGAATTTGGGTGGACTATAGCTACTTACAATGCTTTCTTACCGCATTGGTGCACTAGGCTGTTGCCGGGGTACAAGGATTCTGGGGCACAGGCTGCCATATTGTTCTCCAGAGACCTCTTGGCAGTGGATATAATTACTCGCTCGACCCTCCGCTGGATTAAGCCTGGTATTCAAATCCCTTTTTAAGTTATATTTATAATATAAATAATTTGATCATCCGACGGTAATCTTCAGAAATAGTGGCACTCAGGTAAATTCAGGAAAGTGTACGTAGCAGGTGTGAGCAGTGTGTGTGTGGAGTGTATGTTGAGTATGGTCAGTGATTTGAATAGAGGAGCTGTGTTATCTGAAGACAGAATTTGTTATAGTTCTGATAGCTGATATTTTGTTGGGTGATGATGGGATTGAGGTGGTTTGCAGTGGTTGAACCTCATGCACAGATACTATAAGCTAGATAGGTATAAATTAGTGAGTAGCATTGTTAAGTTTGAAGGCGGTGAAAAGAGCAGAGTGGAGGACATAGTATCTGATTGTTAAAAGTATGCCAACAGTTTTGGACTTTCTTGGCTGTGTTGTATGTGAAGATTGAAGTCAAGTCTCTTCTCTATGTATAACATTCCATCATTTTTACTAGCAACGTTTACATTGTCTACCTGTACGTGTATTTGGCTAGATGCTTTGTTTCCAAGTAAAATGTAGTATGACTTTTTTATGTTTAGTACGGAAACTATTCAGTTCTTCTCAATAAACTATCTCTCTCCGGGGCAAAATATAAAAAAGGACGACCCCACATTATGAAGACAGGCAGACTACAAGGTTGAGTCCTCGCTCATGTGGTTGCAATATAAGCTCTTGGTGTGCTCTGCTTGGCTCTCTTCCCAGGCTTGTTTCATGTTGACCTCGTGTAGGTCTGGCAGCGTCCGTCGTGTTGCACAGTAACCAAGGCAGTATTAAGCGTTCGACCGCTGGTGTACTGTTATTAACATGAAACAAAAATGAAAAATTAGCCGGTTTACTGCATAAAACCATCTCCAACCTCGTCCGGAGCTTATGAAGCGCAGTAGGCAGCGCAGTAGGTTTGCAACCGAAAGGGCCTGGGTCCCGTGGTCGGACACGCTTACTTTCACTTTATTCCTCTGACCACCTAGCAGTAAATAGGTACCCAGGAGTTAGAAAATTGTTGTGGCTTTCTGACACCCCCCCCCCCCCCGACAATGATAAACCGAAACCATATTCTTCTGCAGTGTTGCGGGCGGCAGAGGTTATAACGCTTCTCGATGGTATTTTGGGGCCACGAGCGTGGGTGTCAGCATGCAAGGGCGGGAGGTGCACAGGGACATAATGGTAGCCGACCTTCAGAGCCGCCAGCACCCCTTACCTGGCACCTCTCCTCCCATTAACCCCGCCCTTCTCCATATCTATTGTTTTACTTTTGAATAATGTATAGGATGACCAATTATTTACCTAATTAGAAAGGGAGTTCCATATACTAAGCCCCTAAATTGCATGAAGTGTTTACATAAGTTTAGTCGAACTCTAGGAATGTCAGATAATTATTTCTGATGTGATGTTCATGTGTTCTGTTATATCCATCTAGGAAAGGTGTCACGTCAAGGTTAGTATTGATAAATGTGGCTTTGTAAGTGTAAGTACCGCAAGACAATGTGTGGAGATTCATTCTCTTGTACTATTTCTTTAGCACAAGAGCACTGCTCGGCTTAGACTCGGTTACAAGTATCTCTGGGAATTCTCATTATCTGCCGATGTAGACCTGACCAAATGTAAACTGTGTCAACAAAATTATTCGCACATCCTCCGTCACTATGTGATGGAGTGCGAAAAGATACGTGAATTCAGAGACAATTCTATAACCAATGTTCCAGCGATGTGTAAATATTTCATTCAAAATGATCTGCTACCAAAAATTTTAGCCAAATATCCCCAGTTTGCTAACTGTAGGTAGTAACTGAGTGATTGTAACCTATCCACCGCTGCCCACTGGATGGGGGGCGGTGTGCAGGACAAACATATCAATTATGACACTAACTCTCAACATATGTCAGTTGCTTATTAAGCAACCCGTCCTCTTAAAAAGAACGTCACTTTTGGCTCGTATGCGCGATATGGCTAAATTTGGACGTAATTTGAAATGAAATCCACTCACAAAAGTGACGTTCTGTTCCGTTTTCTATTTGAGCCGTCCGGCGTACGCGCAGAGGTTATAAGAGGACACTTTAAATTAACGTTTTTCATAATGTTTTGAAACTTTATGAGAATTTCCTGCCCACCTAACCTATCAGAGGACCCTTAACTTACTGTTGGTGAAAAAAAAAAATCCCAAATTTATTTTCATATTTTTTTCAATTTCAAATTACGTCCAAATTCGGCCATACGGGCAAACGGCCAAAAGCGACGTTCTTTTTAAGAGGACAGGTTGATGAAACTGTACTTGTGGTTGATCTCGAACCCATTGTTGATGTGACGACTTATACTGAATTTTGTAACTAGCTCATCAAGATTGCAACTTGCTTAGTTAAATGAATTGTGGGGTTCAGTCCCTAAGCCCATTATATGCCTCTGTAACCCTTTCCACTACCGCCCACAAGATGGGTATGGGGTGCATAATAAATGAACTAAACTAACCAAACTGACGGAATATGCGACATTAGGCAGTGAAAGTGTGTAAGCAACTTTTGTGCATTGCATTTTGGGAAGGGCCAGTAGTTGGCCTAGTGACAGACATCATTTAGGAACATGTATCTATTTAACGCTCGAGGAGTCCGACAGTACCAGAGTAGAGATTCCTGTTCTGTTCCCTCCATAGACAGTTCATCCGAAATAAGCCAATCATATTTGCCTTGATTTTTAGCTACGGACCTCCACCAGAGTTTCCTGTGGCTTCCTCCTGGCCAGGCATAGTTCACCAACTTTCAGGTCCCAACATGGTACTTGCCGACTGCATGCCCTGCTGGTAGGTCAGAGCCTGCGGGGGTCCTGGCAAGATCCAGGGCCTCTGTCCCCTGCATCAGTAGGCTCTTTTATTTTCTACAGACACCACACACCCTGCCAGAACGGGCCGAAAGGTCGTCACTTTCTTTATTTTTCAGTCACTTCCTTTATTTCATGTGGGTGTTGGGTGTCTAACTTCCAGCCACGATATTGTGACATGCTCTTGGCTCTTACAACATGAGTTATAACATTAATGAATTACACAACTTCACATTATCCTTCTACATTATCTTAAATTCTTTAAGTTGTGCATGGTAATTTACAACTTTTAGTTTCCAGTATCAGCCTAAAATGTTTATTACCTATCCTAAACCCACATATTAACTATAAAGTTTCTCAGACCGCTGCGTGTGATTATAATCACCACAGTGGCCTTATCAAAAATATCTAAAACTGTACCGACTAATACCCACTGTATTCTGATTTTCTAGACTTATGGAAATAAAATATTATTATTACATGCAATTAAATACACATAAATATAGCTACAGCTCCGTAATTCATCTCAAGTTCAAGTTCAAGTATGTTTATTGAGATAAAGAAATACATCTCAAAGGGATAGAGTAGCTTAGGCTATTTCTACCCCCCTAACCTAATTCATCTCCCATTTACTTTGACTCACGAGAAATCCCCCTGAGGCCCTCAGCTGGGGTGTGAGCCGGCGTGAGGCCCTCGGCGGCGCTGCTCCCCTATGCACTCACTCACCGGTATACATACTGTTGAAGCTTGGCAACTTGCCGCCGTAGTTGAGAGCTGCTGGCACTCATCTTAATTGTCCTCACGTGCCTCACTTAACGCACACTCACGCTGCTTCACTTATTATTTGATGGCCCAGCTTCAGCAGCAATAAATCACTACGTATTTCCAAAATTTGGATTATTTTACAATCACCACTATGCTGTGAATGTTGACGGTCCGTGTGATCATAATTGTGCACAAATATAGTATCTTTTCCTTCGAAAAGTTAAGGATTCTGCAAACACTTATTCTTTTGAGTGTGAGGGCGTGTTGTGGCGGCTTTTACATATGTTTAGTTCATTTATTATGGACGGCAGTGTAGGCATGTATACCGCTGGCGTCGCTGTGGCGGCGTGTATACCGCTGGCGTCGCTGTACGTGGCGGCGTGTATTCCGCTGGCGTCGCTGTACGTGGCGGCGTGTATACCGCTGGCGTCGCTGTACGTGGCGGCGTGTATACCGCTGGCGTCGCTGTACGTGGCGGCGTGTATACCGCTGGCGTCGCTGTACGTGGCGGCGTGTATACCGCTGGCGTCGCTGTGGCGGCCGCGTATACAGTTAGCGTCGCTGTGGCGGCAGTGAAGGCGCGTATACCGGCTGGCGTCGCTGGTGTGGTAGTAGAGGACCGGTGCGCGTGGTGGCTGCTGGCACAGTGTCCAGGTGGTGCTGAGTTGTCTTCCCTCGCCACAGTCTGCCATGATCACCCACACACTACCCCGACCTTCACCCCCCCCCCCTCCACACACACACACACAAGACTTAAGGAGTCTTAATAGCCTCACACTATTCCGTACCTAGTTAAACACACGACAAAGTTAGAAAAGATTGAGAGGTATGCCACCAGACTAGCCTCAGAGCTGAGAGGTATGAGTTACGAGGAAAGGCTACGGGAATTAAACCTCACGTCCTTGGTAGATGTGACGTTAACGGAGAAATGATCACCACATATAAAATTATCAGAGGAATTGACAGGGTGGACAGAGACAAACTATTAAGTATGGGCGGGACACGAACAAGGGGACACAGTTAGAAACTTAGTACTCAAATATGCAGCCCATACAGGATGGATATGGGCTGCATTGTAAATGAACTAAACTTAAAACCCTGAAATAATGTATTTTTTGTAACATAATGTATATTTTTCATATTTTTTTTACCAACAACTAACCTTCTCCAGGATGCAACCCACAGCAGTTGCCTAACTCTCGGCTACCGATTTACTGTAATAGGTAAACAACTATGCTTATATATTATATTAATCTATATTTGAGAAAATTCCTGTTTTGAATGAATAACATGTACAAATTTATAAATGCGTCTGTGGGGTTGACCGCTGAATGGAATGGACTTGAGTCGAGGATGGGTTACCTCCGAACAAAGACCCAAAAGTGATTCCATACACCCGCTAAACCCCCTGTTTATGAATGAAAAACGGTTTACACACGACTCACAACTCATGATATTCGAACAGTTCCGGAATAAGTGCTTCACTGACGAATTTTGTTCGAATCACAATGCTATAAATGCTTCACCCACGTACTACAAATACAAATAATCGCCAATAGAACCTAAACACCTAACCTAACCTAACCTATCCTATGCCTATATATGCACAATATGCTAATATATTATAATATTAATTTATACTTGAGAAAATTCCCGTTTTGAATGAACAGCATGTTAAAATTTATGAATGCGTCTGTGGGGTCGACCGCTGGATGTAATGGACTTGAGTCGAGGACGGGTTGCATAATTTACATCTCCATGTAATTTATTCTGCACACCGCTCTCCATCCAATGGGCAGCAATGGATAGGTTAGTCACCCACATTTACTACCTACAGTTAGCAAACTGGGGATACTTGGCTAAAATTTCTGGTAGTAGATAACTTTAAATTAAATATTTACAGTTTTATTGAAAATTTGTTATGAACGCTATAGGGCTAATGACACTGCAAATCAGACATGAGTACAGGATTGATTTTAACGAATTAATAAAATACTGAACAATTTACAGGATATTGATCCAGACCACTTCCTTAAAAGGACAGATGTAACACCCACAAGGAGCAACAGTTTCAGACTTATTAAGCCACAATGTAGGACGGAAAACAGGAGATGGGGTTTCTGAATTAGTTTAATTCTTTACTAGTCAGTATACGACTATCTAAAAGCTAAGTACGTACAAATTCGTGACTATTGACGACCGTCACAATAGGTACTATCTAAACAGGAGGATGACTGAAATGATGACTCAAAGAAAAAAAAGGTATAGTTGTATGACTACATGAATCTGTTGTTTTTTTATATACAAGAGTTCTTACATTCTTGTACAGCCACTAGCACGCATAGCGTTTCGGGCAAGTCTTTAATCCTAACATTCCCCGGATTACGACCCGCCAAATCGTTTAACACCCATTTTACTGTTGGGTAAATAGAGGCGACAGTTAAGGATTGGCACCCAGTAAATCCTCCCCGGCCTGGATACGAACCCATGTCAAAGCCCTCGCGAAACGTCAGGTGAGTATCTTACCACTGCGCCACGGGGACTGAGCTCCTCAACTGGATTATTGCATCCATGCATGGAGACCTCACCTTCAGAAGGACATATCTGCTTTGGAGAAACTTCAAAGCCGGGCAACAGAAATCATTCCAGAACTAAGTCAACTTTCATGCTGAGATCGGTTGAGGGCCACAGTGCTAACAACACTGAAAACCAGACATGACAGGGCTGATCTCATTGATACTTCTAAAGTACTAAATAGTTTGGAGGATATTAATCCAGACAACTTCTTCAAAAGGTCAGATGTAACACGAACAAGGAGCAGTGGCTTCAAGCTCAATAAGCCACAATGCAGAACGCAAAACAGGTTATTTTTTCATCTACACTGGGCTATAAAGCCGTGGAACTGCCTACCCTATGAAACAAATGCCAAAACGCTGCTGAATTTCAAAATACAGCTATTGCGTGCCGGTATATATTTCATTCAAAATTGTCTGCTACCATAAATCTTAGCCAAATATCCCCAGTTTGCTAACTGTAGGTAGTAACTAAGTGACTGTAACCTATCAATTCCTTTTTAATCTTTAATCTTTATGCTCAATTAGTATTAAGTTCTAGATATTAATGTTTTTCTTGCCCGAAACGCATTGCGTAATAGTGGCTTTAGGCATTGTATGTACTAGCTCTATCTATATATCAATCCATTAATGTAACATCACTTGTATGTATATACCTTACCTGAATAAACATCTGAATCTGAATCTGAATCTGAATCTATCCACCGCTGCCCACTGGATGGGGGGCGGTGTGCAGGACAAACATATCAATTGTGACACTAGCTCTCCACATATGTCAACCAGACCACACACTAGAAGTTGAAGGGACGACGACGTTTCGGTCCGTCCTGGACCATTCTCAAGTCGATTGTGATGAGGAGGTAGGGACAGGCAATAAATAGGCAAGAGAGCTGATGAGTCCAGGTCCAGGACTGGTCCAGGACGGACCGAAACGTCGTCGTCCCTTCAACTTCTAGTGTGTGGTCTGGTCAACATACTTCAGCCACGTTATTGTGACTCATCGCCTGCATTCACATATGTCAGTTGCTTAATTTAGAAACTTTACTTTGAGGTAGGTCTCGAGCCCATTGATGACGTGCATTGAATTTTGTAACTAGTTCATCAAGATTGTAACATGCTTAGCTAAATGAATTGTGGGGTTCAGTCCCTGAGCCCATTTTGTGCCTCTGTAACCCTTTCCACTACCGCCCACAAGATGGATATGGGGTGCATAATAAATGAACTAAACTAACTGGTGGGACATGTTCCCACCAGCACACACTAAACGGAGTTCAGGGAACACGTCCCACCAGCTAGACAAATTGGAGACCTTCGATCGGAAGCTACTGGCTTCCTGTCCTCGTTGAGGCCACTTGAAAGACAGTGGCCCTCAGGTAAATTCAGGTAAATTCAAATTAAGCCAATAACGAAAATGAAGTCGGCGGTATACTTAAATATGACCGTTCTTACGATACCTTCTGTACTAGCTGTAGGCCTACAAACCTGGCATAAGAAAATAGATCTATAATTAAACTGTATTTCCCTGCTGGACCACATGCTGGTGCGCGCGCGAAAGTTCTAGAACCCCAACTGATATATTTCTGACGATTTGACACAATTATAATGCCTCTCAAGCTTAAATATTTCCTTATAGTAATGTCTAGCTGTAGTGAGGAGTTTCCTTGGCTTAGAAAGTCACATGTATCATTGTGACATTTTACAAACATTGGGATAATAGGCGTAAGCACCAAAGGTTCGCTCTGGATATTATTGGAATTCATAATTAATATACAATAAAATTTAGATCATTAAAACCATAGTTTCTTTAGCATCCAGAACTTTAGTTTATATTAACCAATAATTCTTGTATTATTTCATTTGCTTTAATATTATTTCGTTCTAAAAGAATTAGTTTATATTGTTTGTTGAAGGTTTATTTGTATACAGTAAAGTGCTAGCGTTTGTCAACATGGCACAGGGCAGCAGAGGCATAGCTCGAGTCTTGGATAAATTAAAATCTTCGGTAGAAGAAGGAAGATATTATGAAGCTCATCAGATGTACAGAACGTTGTACTTCAGGTTCGTCTGTAGAAATAATGACATAATATTGTGTTGAGTGTAGTGAGGAGTCGGCGCGGCTCCGGCCTCCACACTGCTGGACCAAGAGTTGCGTCATGGGGTGCTGGAAATAATCATAGTTGGGGGTGGAAAGCACACGAAAATGATCCTGTGAGTTGAATACTTGACGCGTGAGGGTAATAAGAGAAGGTAGAGGTGGAGATGAAGGCAGCTGGAGGCGCACCACTCAGACCACCACACAGGATGGTACAACATTTATTGTTCACAGGTGAAGAAGGTCCTGAGGCAGACCATCCTGGTAAGTCAAGCTGTTCCCTTAGCTTCATGTGGGGTTAATTATGTGAGCTGCAAGTTATGTTTCTTGATGTATATATGTAAAGACTAAAGTCTTATTAAAGTGAATTGTGAATTTGGTTAAAATAGGGTGTGGCTACTTCGCTCACATGTAGTAGTTAATGAATACTTCATACACTCCATGTCAGTTTCTTATAATGCACTGAGAGTAAGACATGCAAGCCTTCCCCGGGAATGTTTTAAATTGTATTTTTTTTTTTGTAGAAAATTGATCTTTTATTAAATTGTAGAAGTTTGTATAATGGAACTGAGGTACTGTAGCAGTGTAAAAACTCGATAGTTTTACTGTATTGCATGTTGAACCAATATCTTAATTTTCGTTTTGAGGCTCGTTCACCATTTGCATAGGCTTATTATATTAGGTAAGGATAGGTTAGATAATGTATACTTAGGTAAAGTATGGTTTTAGGTAAGTTCAGATGATCAAGGGCTGCCAACGTGCTACTATAAATTTTACTTTAGGGCATGTAACGTATGATTGTTATGTTGTTGGGTAGGTTAGATACAGTGTTTAGTGAGTCATATTTATTTAGTAGTCCTGGATACAGCAGTGTCGTAGACGTTGAGATGGAGCTTGGAGCAGAGCAGAGAGCTGAGTGTGGCTGGAGACGCAGAGCTCTATGTGGGAGAGCGTTGTAGCTCAATGCGGTCCTAGTCTGCTGCCTGTTCTGTGTCAAAGCTGTAGCGTCTTGGAGACGATTAGAACTTTCTACGCCGAGTGCAACATTCTTGACTGGAAATTGTACTGTTATCTATTCTCGTATCGCTTCCTTATATTTGGTGACTACCCCCTCACCTTTCTCTACTAGGATAGGAGGATGTGAGAACTGTTACCTGTAATTAGGGATAGGATTATAGCTTGTGTAGTTAGTACTAATTAGTTACGCGATTAAGATAGAGATAATGGAGCGAGTATAAGGATTACTAGCTACAGGCAGAAAATGTTATTTCCTGTTTCTTCTATAAACGACATCATTTACCACAGCATTTATCCTTAGGGTTACTACTTCAGCAATGGTGTAATCAACCAAATTGTAAATATTACAGCTGGGAGATGTTTAGCCTTAATACCTGTTTGTATTAGTAAGTTTACCTTGCCTAGAGGGTCACTTTCTTTCTGAGTGCATACTTAATTTCATTCTTGTTCTGGTGAATCCTACAGTTGTTAGATTACAAAGGTAAGGATGTATGGAGAATATTTCACTCGTTTAATTGTATTTAGAATGATTCGGCAAGTAAGAGCACTCGCTCAAAAAGTTGAATGTCTGGATTTACTTGACCTCATTTTTTTCCCCATAGTTTGTGGAGGCCTTCTTGATTTATTTTGGCATATGGTTTGTCTGGTAACAATACAGATTCTTTTCAGTGATCAGCCTCTTCTGTAGTAGTAGTAAAAGTAGTAGATGAATACCATGGTGCCAAGGTGCCAAGGTGCTCGAAGAATGTAAAGAGTAGCTTATTGTCTTGAATATTTAATAAATGATTGAGTCAATCAGGGTGCTTGAATTGTGGAGGGTTGCAAATTTGGTGGTGATTTAAAAATAGGATGCAGTAAATTAGTTGTATTGAACTATCGTCCAATTAACTTAATGTTTATCATAATTTTTTTTTTTAAAGTAGGAAACCACAAAAGGCATTTGTTTACATCTTGATAACATAGATTAATAAAGAATTCACAACTTGGTTTTACCAAGGACCATTTGTGTTTAACATGTTTTCTCTTGTTTCTTTTCAATACAGTCCAGTTTATTTGTAGCAATTGATAGTGGAATCACTTGTAACATTCTTTATGTTTCACTTTCGTAAAACATAAAGTGTTTCTCAGGAGAGTTGTATTAGAAAATTAGAAAAACGTGGTATTGGAGGTGGGGTTATCCTAAATTGGATTAGGGCTTGATTATTTCAAAGAAAACGGTGTTAGCATAAATGGATTTACTGAGTTGGAAACCGTTATAAGTAGTGCCACAGGTCTCTGTCCTAAGATTTCTGTTGATAATCAAATATATAAATGATTTAGACTCGGGATTGAACAGTCCCATTTACAAATTTGCAGATACAAAATAGAGCAGGAATATATAATATATATATATATATATATATATTTATATTTACATATATATATATATATATTTATATATATATATATATATATATATATATATATATATATATATATATATATATATATATATATATATATATATATATATATATATATATATATATATATATATATATACATACATACATACAGTGGCACCTCGACATACGATTGCCCCTTCTTACAATAATTTCAAGTTACGATGTAAATTTCATCGAAAAATGCGACTCGACATCCGATATTTGTTGGTACACGTTCGGGTTGACCGAGCGCGTGGTTCCCAGTCACGTGGCTGACCTGCCTCAGTTTACTACAGCTGCCCGCTTAGTGACGATTGCGCCTATAAGAAATTCCGTTTTTGTTGTGTTTTTTTGCATTTTGAACATTAAAGTATTTATTATACATCACGCCATGAGTCCCAGGAAAGTCAGTGGTAAGGCTCAACATATGAAAACCCATATATGGATGACCATAGAGCAGAAACAAGAGTACAGAATGTCTCTTCCTCAACAATTAAGAAAATGTGTGCAGCATGGGAAGAATTGCAAACCTTTGCTGAAACAACTCGCCTAAATCAAGCTGCAGTAGGTCATTGCCTTAACCTATTCAATGACACTGTGATGCATCATTACAGACAAATGTTAAAACGAAGGGAAAAACAAATGTCTCTTGACAAATTTGTAGTGAGACAAACAAGCACTGAACCACAACCAGGTCCTAGTGGTATTCAGGCAAAACGTAGGAGAGAGAGAGAGTACCCCAGAGAAAACATAACTGCCTGATGTGATAATGGAAGGGAACTCCCCTTCCAAACAGTAACAACTCTCCTCCTCCCCCATCACCATCTTCCATAAGCCATCAAGAGCCCTCATAAAGGTAACTGTAACTTTGGTACTGTATTGTAGTTAGAAAAAAACATTGTATTCAGTATAAAATGTATTTTTATGTTAATATTTTTGAGGGTGGGGAATGGATTAATTCAAATCCCTTTATTTCTTATGGGAAAATTCGCTTCGACTTCCAATCCGTCTCTGGGAATGGATTAGCATCAGAAGTCGAGGCCCCATTGTAAGTATATATAATATTTTATGTATTATATATATATATTATATATTTATATATATATATATATATATATATATATATATATATATATATAATATATTTATATATATATATATATATATATATATATATATATATATATATATATATATATATATATATATATATATATATATATATATATATATATATATATATTTATAAATATATACATATATATATATATATATAAATAGAATACAAACCAATGTATATAATGTAAGTTGGATAAGTTTAGATACAAGAAAGATATTGGTAAACATTGGGTTGAAAATAGGGTTGTTTATTTATGGAACAAATTTCCAGATAGCATAATACACAGGGTATTGCTAGATTATTTCAAGCATTAGTCAGACATGTACAATACAGTATATGAATGAGTTTCCGTGGATATAAATACTGTACGAGTTTTCTCGTTTGAGCCAATAGGTCGTCTGTAGTTTCATCTATTCTTACTTGTGTTGGATTTTAAATCTGAACTCCATCTGTTGGGGGCCATGATTCCAACCTCATTGTTTGTCTTTGCACCATGCTGAGAGGTACACCAGGCAGATGGAGATTAGATTTTACAGGTTAATCAATTCTTTTAGATGTAAAATGTCAACTTTACCAGTTCCTCTGTTCATGGGGTTTGGGAGGGGGGGGGTGGGGGGTTATCTCTGCTTGGTTTGGTTAAAAGTTTTGGCATTGTTGTTGACTTGCAGGCTGGGCAGGGCCATCAAATATATACAGTAATTGTCTACAATGAGCAGCTTTCAGATTCAGCCTCTTACTTTATGAAAGATGGTATGCCTTTAGTGAAAACGACAAACCTAGCTCTTAATGTTTAATACCACCTGTTTTACATTTATACTAATGAGAATATTGGGAATAACAGGCTGGGCTGCCTTGTAGTCTTCAGACTTCCTATGTGATATGTAAATATATTAGACTGGAACCTTCTCCATACTGGAGGGCCAGGTCCCAAATCTACACAGTAAAATAACGACATACCGGAGTAAATGATATGGAAGGAAATGCAGAATAGAACCAATGAAGAGCAGGTGTGCCATAGGCACAATCAGAGAACACTGTATAATCATCAGAGGTCCATGGTTGTTCAACATTCTTCCAGCAAGTATAAGAAATATTGCCAGAATGATCGTGGACATCTTCAAGAGAAAACTAGGTAGATTTCTTTAAGACAGGCTGGACCAACTGGGCTGTGGTGGATATGTGGGCCTGCAGATCACTCCATTCAACAGCCTGATGGACCAAGCTCTCACAAGTCAAGTATGGCCTCGGGCTGGGCTTTGGGAGTAGAACTACTCCCAGAACCCCATCAAGCAGGTCAAGCAGGTCATACACTAAACCATAAACTTCACTAAACAGAGTATGGAGAACAGCTAAACAAAGGGTTCCAGGGCTACCTTGTAAGTGCTAGATTTCTGTGATGTTACATACAGTATATATGATGATGTGAAGACTGGTGTCATTTTTAATATCTGACCTTTTCTTATTCAGTACTGGTATCTGTACTTTGGCAATTTTTTCCCTGCCATTGTCTCCCAACATGAAGAAAGTGGGGAAACAAGTTATAATGGTGGTAATGAATAGTATGCTATATGCACATACAATATGGTGTATGTGCCATACTGCACATACATACACCATACTGCACATACATTATGGTGTATGTGGATTTCATGTATTTATATACTTTTCATTAAGTTATATGATGTTAATTAGAAATGCATAAAAGATTGTAATGTATTTTGAAGGTATCTTACACATGGTTTTTTAATACAGATACTGCAGTCAACAGAAGTACAGTGAGGTTCTAGATCTCTTATATGATGGTGCATCACTTCTTTTAATTCATGATCAAGTAAGAATATGTTTGTTAACATTTTGTAGTGGAATGTATTTATTTGCCTTATTATTAAGAGAGAATCATTGTTTTTTTTTCCATAACAATAGTATCTTAAGTTTTCTGTGAGGACACTCTGAGGTGGCTTCCAGTTGCTAGCTGCTTTTGTTAGCTCCTGACCTATCCAGATACACCAAGCCCTTGCAAGTCAATAAAAGCCTTCCAGGCACATGAGGGTAAAACCTGGCACCCCCTCACAGGTGCAGAAAGCAGGGGAATCGGTGATCACCCTCTCAAAGATTGCAGCCACTATAAAGGTAAAGTGAAATAAAACAAACAGCAAGATAAGGCAACAGCTTGGCAAATGATCCACCCAGTTGTTAAGTGGCTCACTTTCTAAGTCCAACTGCCCACCACCAGGTGGTGGCTTCAAGAGCTCACAGATACCCACTTCATTCAGTCACCCGGTGCAACTTCAGTCATTATCTAATATCCTTTGGGTCCTGGAGTTTTACAGATAAGTGTTGGCCATCCTTTTGACTTTGCCCTGTTGGGCCCCATTTACTTGTGCATTGTTCCAGTTTTTAGTATTTGCTTCACAATTATTTTTATATTGTTGCATGGATCGGTGACCTCTCTGCATGGCACAGAGGTGGGGTGTGGTTGGGATGTTTCTTCTCTGGGGTGCACAGGAGTGCACTTGTTGGTTTATATGGAATACTGCTGATGCTTTTAACAGCCACATTTGTCATTTAAATTGTGTTAGATGCTTTTTCTACTTTCGATGAGTAGCTCCTGTTCATGGGATCCCTGCTTGGTCTTTGCCTTCAGGTCCTGTAAAGTTCCCATGGTCTTTACCTTTAAGACCTGGAAAGCCTTCACAGTCTTTGTTGTGGCTCAGGGTGAACCCAGCATGCCAAGCCTGCATTTCCTGATTTAGAGTGTAAGAGATGTTTATTAGTCTTGCTACATACCAGTGATCATTCTTATCGCCTCTTCCATGCCTCCACTTGGGTGGGATACATAAGAAGAAAGGTAACTGCAGAAGGCCTATTGGCCCATGCGAGGCAACTCCTATTTATAACCACCCAATTCCACTCATATACATGTCCAACCCACATTTGAAACAATCGAGGGACTCCATCTCCACCACATTACGCGGTAATTGGTTCCACAAATCAACAACCCTGTTACTGAACCAGTATTTACCCAAGTCTTTCCTAAATCTAAACTTATCCAATTTACACCCATTGTTTCGTGTTCTGTCTTGTGCTGATACTTTTAATACCCTATTAACACTTTGACGCTGCCGGCCTATTGAAAAAAAAGCATACCCTAGATGCTTTCGGCGTTTCGAGCGCTTACGCGGCAAGACCGAAAAGTGTATACTTTTTTGACTGTTGTGACACTAATTGTAGGCGTACGTATTTAAATTTGGTATCACTGTGTTCACAATAGAATTGTCTATAAGAACATGCCTATAAAATGCCGCCAAAGCATAAGGCATATCAACACCAAATAAAAAACTATTGAGATCACTAGCCGAGAGCGCCAAACAGCAACAAAATGTTTCCACTCTCTTCATGGTTGTGAAGCCCACAGTTGTGCTACAGTGTTAATTTTGGTATCACTGAAATCGCAATAAAATTCTCTACACAGACATATGCATATAAATATAGAATCAATGTCGCAGCCCACCCAAAACAGTGTGGGAATTGGCCGAAGTGTTACCCGCGGCGGCATATCGGCGAAACCCGCATTGAAAAGTGTATATTCAATTCACTGTCCTGACATTATTTTTCGATGTACGTATTTAATTTTTGTACCAATGTGTTCGCAATAGAATGTTCTAGAAGAACATAAGTATAAACGGTCACATAAGGCAACATATATAAAAACTACGTCGATTATACTTGTCGCGTCAATAATAAAATTGTTTTACCACGATGATTCACTGCCACGCCGTTCTCCTAAATAAGCTGTTCGACTATTAGAGAAAACGTAAATTTCATGGCAAACTTTTGTAAACTATCCCCAAGTAGATCGGATAATAAATGGAATTTATACAAATATTTTTTCTCGTGACTCTTGAGCGCAGCACGCCAGCGTAATCAGTAGAAATATTGTTGACACCGCTGAAGTCACCAAAGCGGCAAAGTGTTAATTAATATCCCCCTTTGTTATGTCCATTCATCCACTTGTAAACCTCTATCATGTCACCTCTAACTCTTCGCCTTTCCAGTGAATGCAATTTAATTGTTAATCTCTCTTCATATGACAGGTTTCTAATTTGGGGAATTAACTTTGTCATCCTACGCTGGACATGTTCGAGTGAATTTATGTCCATTCTATAGTACGGCGACCAAAACTGAACTGCATAATCTAAATAAGGCCTAACCAGAACAAGATATAGCTAAAGAATAGCAACAGGTGTCTTGTTACTAATGCTTCAATTAATAAATCCCAGTGTCCTATTTGCCTTAATACAAACATTCATGCATTGATCCTTTGGTTTTAAATTCGTACTAATCATAACTCCCAGATCCCTTTCGCAATCCGACTTCGCAATCTCAACACCATCTAGCTCATATCTTGTAACTCTATCATCATTACCTAACCTTAAAACTTTACATTTATCAGCATTAAACTGCATCTGCCAATCTTTTGACCATTTCAAAACCCTATTTAGATCGATTTGAAGTGACAGTGAGTCGTCTTCCGTGTTTATTTCCCTACCGATTTTGGTATCATCAGCAAATTTGCAAATGTTGCTACTTAAACCCGAATCTAAATCATTTATATATATATTACAAACAGAGGTCCAAGGACAGAGCCTTGAGGCACTCCACTTACAACATTTTCCCACTCTGACTTAACCCCATCTACACCAACTCTGTGCCTTCTTTGGTATAGCCATGCCCCAATCCAAATAAGTATAGCACCCCCAATACCATGAGCCTCTATCTCTTTAGTCAGTCTTTCATGTGGCACTGTATCAAAAACCTTGCTAAAGACAAGTACACATCACAATCCTTACCACTATCAACTGCCTCAACTATGCTGGAATAAAAAGATAGCAAATTTGTTAAACATGAACGGCCATTTGTAAAACCATGTTGAGAATCATTTATTAATTCATGTTTCCCAAGATGAGAATTGCATCTGCAACCATCGACTCAACCAACCCTTCCACAACATATGCTAGGCTAATTGATCGATACAGTAATTTGACGCAAGTGATCCAGCTCCCTTCCCAAAAACCGGCACCACACCAGCAACCTTCCATGACTCCGACACTCTGCCTGACTCCATTGATTTATTAAATATGGCAACAGTGGCTCGCAAAGCTCCTTGCATTCCCAAAGCACCCCGGCAAAAACTTCATCCGGTCCTGGAGATTTGTTTGTCTGTTACCTTCACTGTCTGCACCACTGGGAGAGTTTCCCATTAGAACATGCTTAACCAGCTTCATTTTCTTGATGGATGGTTGTGGTCTGGGGTCTTTCCTTCATTTCCCTGTGACCCAGAATGGCAACTTGCTGACTTCCCTTTGTACCACTTTTGAGGCCATTCTGTGGGTTCTGCTCTGTTTTTCTGCTTTATAATGGGTTTCATTTATGGGATTTCTTTCATCTTGTCTTTCTTCGTTTGCTGGCCAGGATTCGGATTTTTCTGTCTGGATTTAATTGGGTTCCTGGTTGCCTGACATGCTAATCTGGTTTTTATACTGATATTACTGTGGTTCATGCTGATTTCTTTGCATTTTCTGCTTCTGGGCATGGTATAATTGTTTCTTGGTTGGCACATAATGCTTCTTCAGCTTATCCATTAATCTGTACAGTATTTCTTTAGTTCAGCCACTGGTCTGTACAGTGATTCTGTTGAGTTTCCTTCCTTTTCTCGAGCGGTTTTGTTGGATTCCCGGTTCTATCTGATGCTCAGTCTCTGCACTGCATGTTAGTGGGGGGGTCTTTGCTTGTGTGCTCTTGCTGCTCCTCCATCTTCTCTCTTCTCAACCTTCCCTTGCTATATTGGGCAGGGCTGTGAGATTTTGCATTCCAGTGGGGCTCTACCTGCTCCTTTGTTTGCCATCGGCTGGTTTCTGTGTGTTTCTTCAGGCGATTCTTCCTCCTGCACCTTGCCGGGTTCCTGGATTCTAGGTAGATGCTTAGCGATGTGTGAGCTGGGATTTTTGGCTCCTTTTATTTTGTCCCAGGTTGATACTTTTGCTCAGTTATCCTGGTGTTATTTTCCCTTCACCCCACAAGTTCTGTTGCAGGGCTTCACGGCTCTGTCAGCATCTACCCTCCCCTTATGCTCATTTTTCTCCTTTGCTTTGGGATGGAGATTTTGTGCCATGTGTTCCTTTGGGTTCTCGGTGGGTTGTCTTGTGCTTGGCATGTTTGCCACACCGTGGCTTGCTCTATGAATTCATATCTTCTCTAAAGTCCATGCTTCCACTCTTCATCTGCTCCCAAGTAGTTCATATATATTTTTTCACTGTGTGGGGGGGGGGGGGGGCATGCTTACATCCTGTTGGTTCCCTTTTGGCTGGTTCAATTATGGCTTCTGGACCTTTGGTTCCATTGTCTGAAACTGCCTTTTTTTCTGGCTACACCTATTCACCATTTTGGTTCTGTTGTGCCCTATTGTTGCCAGGGTCTGTAATCATTTAAGCATTGTGGCCTGTTATAAGTCTTATGTCAAATCCCTTGTCAAATGCAGCCATTGTGACATTCCCTACCTGAGCATAGGCTGAGGAAATTAAAACTAAACAAAATATATGATCTTAGAAGTTAACGAATAACTAAAAGTCCATGGCAAATGTTCAGTCAATATAACTATAACAGTGCGAAAAATTCATTACAGAAACAAATAGCTAAAAGAAGATGTAGAAGAATTAATAGTGCAGTAATGTAAAAACATAGCAAAAATGCACCAGCAAATCATTACTGAGCACAATTGTTACAGTGATAGTCAAGATTAAATAATTATGGCAACCAGCCACCTGATGACAAGGAATTCACAATGATTAATTCACCAAAATCAAACAACCCATAAATTAATCCCCACTTGGGTTTATGCAGTTTCGTTAACACACACTTAAAAGACGGGACGAAAGAGCCAAAGCTTAATCCCTGCAAACACACTTGCGAGTTCACTAATTCACTATTAATAAACATAACTACCTTGTTAACTTAAGCATATCCTAAACAAGTAAGTTGTAAGATTACTAAACTGACAAATTATGAGCCAGCAGTCAACAACCACACTTTTCCATCTCTCACAGTGGAGTGTTGATGTTAAAAATTGGCTGTTGGGCTGCTCACTCCTGAATATGATATTGCCACATTGCTTCCATAACTTTCCGTAATAAATTACAATGTTTCATACTATTTTGAAAAGTGTAAACTAAATATTCAATCGATTACATTGTTCTTGGTATACCCTATCAACACTTGGGCAAATAAGCCACTGAATAGTTACATTATCAGATATTAGCCACTTTCAAGGCCTAGTGTGGATCAAACTGGACAGAACTAGCCAGGAAGCTGACAACAGGAAGTCTCCAAGGACCCAACAGAAAGAAGTGTTTCATTACATTCAGTACTTGTTTTTCTTGGATGATGGATTTAGTTTCTTGTTGGTTGCTGAAAGTTCACCTTAGTTCTATCATGGGTTCAGTCTTGTTTGAATTTGTTCTCGGCCTCTAGAACATTGTTCCTTCTTTGCTGCCCCTGGCCTTGTTTGGTGTCTTGCTTTCTGTTTGTGGGAAGAGCTTGGTTTCCTTGTTGGGCTTTCGAGAGGATGTGTGGCAACCCACTTTTTTCCTGTGTGATCTTCTCACTGGGCTTTGTGATTTTTATGTGTGGGTCCTTCATTCCTCCCTTGTGGCCATGTTTCACCTTCCTGAGTGGTCTCGAGTGCTTTTTCTGTTTGCCCTGTAATTCTTATGTCCCTACTGCCCTCTTTGACCTTTAGGGTTTTGTTCTGTAATATCTTCTTCCTCCCATGTGTGCTGTGTTCTGTGTACTACGGATCTTGACTGGTGGTTTGTGACTGGCATTCCTTGGTGCTCCTGGTCCAGGTGTTTCTTCCAGAGGCTGCACTTCTTCGTTCACTAGTTGGTGCTCTGCTATACTTTTGTTCTTAGTCTCCATAGTTTGGTTCCTTTCTGCCTGTACTCTGGTTTTTGCTTTCCCCAATACCAGTTGGTCTGGTCTCTTCTGGTTGTTGCTAGACTTCTGGTACTTTGGTTTTGGCTCCACAGGTTTGCTTGTATTGTTTGTCGATTGTGCTCATGGACAGTACCTTCATGTGATCTGCCTTCCTTGGCATTGTGGCCAGTCATTGATGGGTCCTCATCTTGTTTTTACATGTAGTGTTCAGTCATCCCTTGAGTGTTCTTTTTTACTCAGTGAAGACATGGTAGCTTCTGTTCTCTATTGCTATATTCCTGGTTGCATGCATTGGTGGTAGCTGTTTTCACCTAACCCGGAGTTGAATCAGTTTTTGCATTTCTTCCGTCTGGATTGGTGTTTTCCTGGTCTTCGTACCTGGGTTTTTCTGCTGGCAAGGTATCTCTGATGAGTGACCAGTTTACACTTCAAGCCCAAGAAAATAAGGTTTATGTCCATTCTCATGCACCTGCTGTGGCTCTGTCTACTTTTGGAATTTAGTTGAGTGCCATACAATACTGTACCTTGTTGACTCGGGCTTCACTGCCATTTTTCCTTTGCTGCCTTTCATAGTCAGATGTTCTACAGTCTGTTGTCACTGAAGTCAACAGTGGCTGACTCTTCCAAGTGGACAAAATATCTGGTTGTTCTCTTGGAAGTGGTGAACTGTTCTGCCTTGCAGGTGCTCCACTCTAAGGCCATTGTTGTCATTGTGACACATTTCTAGCGGGTCTCTTCCTGTCATATTTTTGTAGCTGCCTTCTTGGTAGCAGTGCTGGGTGGCTTGGCGCGATTTTCGCCTTTCTTTGTTCCATCTCGTCTTAAATTTTTCTTACCTAGATATTATTAATTGAAGGATTTGTTTACAGTATTTTGATTAATTATATGATGGTTGAAGATAGACAAGTTAAAACAAGGATAAATTGTTCTTGGTCCCTCACTATTCCTCTTTGGAATGATGGTCAATGTAAATGTGTTTTGTACCCATTGCTGTGTTATGCTTCATCCATATCATTTCCTTATGTTAATTAAGGTATAAATAATACTTATTTGTGTCTTTCTGCTCATTTGAAGTGTGTGTATCTTCTGATTCTATTTGTGTACAGTATTATCATCGTGCTTGAGTGAAGAGAATGGGGTTTTAAATGTAATTTACTGTATACAGTACTGGAACCCTGTCTTGGTTCATTTGTTTTTAATAGTACTTAATAAAATGCTCATTGACTGCTCATTCAACAGCAAACAAGTGGTGCAGACCTAGCTCTTTTAATGCTGGATGTGCTTGAGAAGTCCAAAACAGAACCAACAGAAGAACAGATAACTCAAATAGCCAAGTAAGTTGTATATATGGTAAACATTATGTAGCTTTCCTTCATCATTATTATTATTACTACATTGTTCATCTTTTTCATGTAGTGGTAGGTATTTGCTTGGATAAGATAGAAATGCAGCACAGAAAGTTGAAGATATTATTGGTGACCCCCATCTAATATACATACCTTTCACACTAAATACATCGCATCCAACCATGTTTTCTGTGGGGAGCCCCTATCGCTACCTGGAGCTATTGGGCTAATGTGGGATACATTAGACCTGGGCATTAGAGTATGGAGTTCAGCCTACTGGGGGACCACAAGCCAGAACCTGGCCCCCTCAGAGCAATGGCCCTGGAAAACCCCCCTTGTAGTTGAGGGGTTATGTTTATCTGCCATTGTCTGGGGGTTAGGCACCCAGAAAGGTAGGCATAACTAAACAAACCCCACATGGTAAGAAAATGGCAAAAAAGAAAAAGAAAAAAGCGAGGCAGAATTCCCTCCAATCCCATGGAAACAAGCATAGGTCACACTCCACCGCATCACTCGTCTGTGCAGACCTCCCCTCCCCCGTGCCGGCTACCTAAAACTCCAGTTCGTTTGTTAATGTGCTCCGGGGCAGACGTCTTCTCTGGCCTCGATTTTCAAGGCAGTGTTTTACCTTCGTGGAGACATCTGCAGTGTTGTTGTGTGGTGGCCAGGTGTCCTCAAGCGTATTGGGGCTTGGTACTTTATGCGCTTAGTGGCATCTTTCCCTAGGCACCCTGTGAGTACTGCCCTTGCGTGTTAGGGTTCTCTTCCCTGGTGCATTCGGGAACCATTTCTGTAGGGGTTTTTGCTGCTCGGCATTTACCCCGCCCTTGGAGCCAGCTGTGGGTGGGGGGGGTGGAGCAAGTTTGAGTGCCTTAATGCTTGGCACAGTTGGAGAATATGTTGAACATCAGAGGTCCATAGGTCTTCAACCTCTTTCCACCAATTCCTGTATAAGAAATATTGCTAGAATGAAAGTGGATGTTTTCAAGCAGAAATTGGACTAACCAGGTTTTAGTGAATATATGGACCTGGACAACATGACAAAATAAGTTGTCACTAAACAAGTTTTGCCTCGTGTTGAGCTAGGAGAGTGGAAGTCTCAAAACAGATTATGACTCATTACTCTTCACATTTATTTTACACAATTTCCTTGTCTCTCTCTACTGCTATTACTTTAGTCCAAGTTCACTTAACATAATTTGACAAGACCATCTCCTCAATGTATGTTCATCACTTCAGAAGCTTCTATATATACTGTGTGTTATATACTGTCTCCATATCATTAAAAACTATGCACACATTGCTCTTCTTTTCACATGTTTTCTTTATCTGTTGAACTGTAAATAACTGATCCATGTCATCTTCTGCCTCACACTTTTCTCACTACACACCTATATTCTATAGTAATATTTCTATATTTCTGGCACTTGTCTGTTCACCTTTATTCATACATAGTGGCACATAACAAAAAAAAAAAAAAGAATTGTTAAGTATCTTTCACTGTGCTATTTTACCATGTCAATTCTATTACATTTTCTCTGCTGCATTTGATAATTGTTTTAAGATGTATGTTTTGGGTTGTTAAGTTTAGTACAAGGTTCAGGTGTGATTCATGAGGGTTTTGGTAGGCTGTATTTATTGGTGGTGTTATGTATTGGTGGCAGCCTTGTTGGGGTATTCCATATGGGCTTGCTCTGTTAATTTGTATTTTCTTGGAGGTTATCTTGAGATGATTTCGGGGCTTTAGTGTCCCCGCGGCCCGGTCCTCGACCAGGCCTCCACCCCCAGGAAGCAGCTTGTGACAGCTGACTAACTCCCAGGTACCTATTTACTGTTAGGTAACAGGGGCATTCAGGGTGAAAGAAACTTTGCCCATTTGTTTCTGCCTCGTGCGGGAATCGAACCCGCGCCACAGAATTACGAGTCCTGCGCGCTATCCACCAGGCTACGAGGCCCCCTTATGGAGGATGATGGAGTAAATTATAAACAAATAAAACATTAAATTGTATTAATTTTAGTGGTTTCTCTGGAAACTAACTCTTAATGACAATGAGAAGTTTATAATTTCCAAAGTGTATTTTTACAATAGATTGATTGTTCTACTTGATGTTATATATGTGGTATGTGCCTTGGTACCAGGTAATATTCTGTATACGGTAGTACAGTATAGAGCAGTGGTCGCCAACCAGTGCTCCGCGAATATTTGTGTATATTGTATGTAACTATTTTCTTTAACTGTTTATATTTAATGGCGTTAAATAGTTTGACTTTAATAACTATCATTTCTTGTTTGGTTGACTGCTAGATTCACATTAGTGGTCTGTAGGATTTAAAATTATGAATTTGGTGATCCGTGAGCTACGAAAGGTTGGTGACCGATGGCATAGTGTGTTGTTCACTGCTGGTCTAAGACAACTGGTCACCTTTATTATGCTCAAGTGTGCCCTTAGTTCATAAATGAAGTTAATGGAAAATGCAATACAAAATTACAGTATATGAAATTGTCTTTTCAGTTTATTTAGTCTCTTAAATCATGGAACACCTGAACGTCATCAGTATCTAGTTCGAGCAGTGAAGTGGTCATGTGGAGAGACGCACAAACTTGGCCACCCAAGATTGCATCAACTTCTTGCACAGACATTATGGAAAGGTAATGATATATTTTCTCTGATGGATACATTCATAGTACAGTGCAACCTCTATTCAACGAACTATATGGGACCATACCAAATTCGTTGCAGTGAAGGATTCATTGCAACCGGAGATGACTCCAGGAGGCCCATATTTGTGAACAAAAACAGGGAAATCTCAAATGAAAACAAACCATAGAATTTGGTTTTAAATGTTGCTCTATGGCTTTTGCAAGGCCCCAGTTCTCTCTTCTAATTTTGCTTCCATGTATGGAAACCATTAAAAACGTCATTGAAGCCATATTAACAGGTATCATTTGCACCCTAATATTTCCCATGCTCTATGGACTGATTTCACTAAGGAAATGATTTCATTTTTAACCTATGATATGATGAGTAAGTTTTCCACGTCTGTGAACTCTGTCCCAACATCCTAAGCAACAAGGCCTGGAAAGTATTCGCAGAATCGAGATTCGTTGCATTGAGGTACCACTGTATAAACCTTATCATTAAAAAATACAGCTGTTTCTTTGTTGAAATGTGCAATGATTTTATAAAATTTATACCAGTTTTGAATATATTATTTATGATTACCAAAGCACAAGTCAGAAAATTAAGAAATGATGATGTTTCTGTCCATCCTGAACCATTATAAAGTTATTACAATACTTTGTAATGGTCCAGAATGAACCGAAACAATTTTGTTTTCTTCCTTTTCTGATGTGTAGTTTGGTCATCATATCTTTAACCATGTTATTGCGACTCATTGTCTATTATTATTTATTTACTTTAATTAGTGATATTCTTATTAGTTAACAAACAAGCACTGTCATTGTACTCTGTATTCACAGTAGAAGTGCATAATTAGTGAAAATTAAAATTATAAATTTGGCAAATCATTCTCTTGACCAAAAATATGTATATATTTTTGGATGTTTTGGACATTCATACATAGATGGAAAAATATATCCATCCATGTACGAATGTCTACTAAAGCCTTCTGAAAATATTTAGCGAATTTGCATATTCTGCTTGAAAATTTTATGAAAATAATAGCTTAGTCTAAATGTAAAACACCTTCATTCAAGTGTTTAGGATTCTCTGTTAAAGAATTCCTAATGTTGGTTTGACTGCCACAAAAGGGAAATAAATGGCACTTGAATGCACTTAGTAATAAAAATGTGTGTAAAGGTAAAATATTGCCTAGATATTAATAGCTGGAGAGTGACATGAAAGAAACAACAAAAAAACAAGGACAAAGTATAATGAAAGTATAAGCAGTTTGGTGATTGAAAAATACATTAATTCACCTAGTGGTATTCCAGTGTGTGTACTCGCCTACTGGTAATTGTGCTTGCACGGGTTGAACTTTGGCTCTTTGGTCCCACCTCTCGACTGTAAATAAACTGGTGTGCAGATTCCTGAGCCTATTGGGCTCTTATCATATCCACATTTGAAACTTTGTATGGAGTCTGCCTCCACCACATCACTGTCTACTACATTCCATTTGTTAGTCTCTGTGGCTCATTAGGGTACCTGGTTTCCACCTGTGTCCCCTTGTGCGAGTATCACCCTTGTTAAATAAGTTGTCCTTATTGACTTTATCAATTCTGCTGAGAATTTTGTATGTGGTGATCATGTCTTGCCTAACTCTTTTTGTCTTCCAGCGACATGAGATTTAATTCCTGTAGTCTTTCTTTGTAGTTTATGCCCCTCAGCTCAAGTACTAGTCTGGTGGCATCCCTTTGAACCTTCTCCAATTTAGTTTTGTGCTTGACTATATATGGTCTCCATACTGAAACTACATATTCCTGGATTGGTCTGACATCTGTGGTATACAAGGTTCTAAATAATTCCTTACACATCTCTTACCTTCAGGTGTTCTTTCACCAGAAAAGTCACACCTCCACCCTTTCAACATTTTCTGTCACATCTTCAAATTAAGTAGTCCCTTGGGAATATGACCTCATTTAAAATATTTTCAAGTTTCGTCTCTTCTAGTGTGACAATATCTTGGACCTTAAGCTGAATTATATCTTTGGAATAACGGTACGAATATCTATCTGAGGGGGAACCCCGTCAGTTCCCTGAAGCTAATGGACTGATATCTGCAATATTAGTCTAGAGCATCAGTTACTGGAGTTTGTGCCTTCCGGAAACCACGAGCCAGAACCTGGTTCCCTCAGAGAGGCACGGGGAGCAATGGCTTATGAACACTACACTTTTTGAGAGTAGTCATGTCTGCCATCGACCAGAAAGGTAGGTAATTATCACCTACCTTATATTATCACCTAGAAAGGTAGGTAAATCATTACAAACCCATACTGGTAAAACATTGCAACCCAATCACGAACAGAGCCCAAAAACCGCCCAAGAAGAAACGACAAACAAGCAAATATCTACTCAACTAGCGTGGCCGCTCATTAGGGACCCCCCTTCCCTGGGAGGGGGAGAGGGCCCCGCCCAGCCGGCCCAAGCACTGACACAGGCAGTTCGTCAACTGATGTCATATAGAGCAGATGTTACCTCTGGCCTCATTCTCTTGTCTGGATCTTACCGTGTGTGGTTGTGCCAGCTGTGAGGGGTGGTGCGGTGGCCAGGTGTTCTGGTGTACTCGGGCTGCATGCATCTAGGGCTACCTTCCCTAGGTAGCCCTAGGGAAGTATGCAAGGACCATCTATGCACATTCAGGGTTTTCTTCCAGACTGTCAGGAGCTTGATAGCTGAGTGGACATCGCCTCAGATTCGTAGTCCTGAGGTTCCGGGTTTGATCCCTGGAACAAATGGGCAGAGTTTCTTTCACCCTGATGCCCCTGCCAGTAAATAGGTACCTAGGAGTTATACAGCTGCTACGGGTTGCATCCTGGGGGTGTGTAACAAAAAGGAAGCCTGGTCAAGGACTGGGCCGCGGGGACGCTAAGCCTCGAAATCATCTTGAGATAACCTCAAGATAAGGCCCATTTATCAGTGTATGCCTTTCAAACTTTATAATCAGCATTATGTATCACATGATATATACTCACCTAATTGTACTCGCCTAATTGTGCTTGCGGGGGTTGAGCTTTGGCTTTTTGGTCTCGCCTCTCAATTGTCAATCAACTGGTGTACAGATTCCTGAGCCTACTGGGCTCTATCATATCTACATTTGAAACTGTGTATGGAGTCAGCCTCCACCACATCACTTCCTAGTGCATTCCATTTATTAACTACTCTGACACTGAAAAAATTCTTTCTAATGTCTCTGTGGCTCATCTGGGTACTAAGTTTCCACCTGTGTCCCCTTGTTCGTGTCCCACCCGTGCTGAAGAGTTTGTCTTTGTCCACCCTGTCAATTCCCCTGAGAATTTTGTAGGTGGTTATCATGTCTCCCCTTACTCTTCTGTTTTCCAGGGATGTGAGGTTCAGCTCCTTTAGCCTTTCCTCGTAGCTCAATCCTCTCAGTTCTGGGACGAGCCTTGGTGGCATACCGCTGAATCTTCTCTAACTTTGTCTTGTGTTTAACTAGGTATGGACTCCAGGCTGGAGCTGCATACTCCAGGATTGGTCTTACATAAGTGGTATACAGGGTTCTGAAAGATTCCTTACACAAGTTTCTAAAGGCAGTTCTTATGTTGGCCAGTCTAGCATTTGCCACTGATGATATTCTTTTGATGTGGGCCTCTGGGGACAGGTTCGGTGTGATATCAACCCCCAGATCCTTCTCTCTATTTGACTCTTGCAGGATTTTTCCTCCCAGATGATACCTTGTGTTCAGCCTCCTGCTCCCTTCGCCTAATTTCATCACCTTACACTTTCCTAAGGTGTATGACACATGATATATGTGTTCTTTATGCTGCCCTGACTGGTGGCTGACTTCTCTGCCCCATGTAGATACTGGAATTGGCCACCCCATGTTTGTGGGTTCGATCCTTGTAAAACCATTGAGCATTCAGATCTGACATTAATGTATAAGGTAGCATGCTTTGTCAGCATGTTGTCATTGCATTTTCAATTGATTTAGAAAGATTCAGTCTGCCCAGTTGGCAAGACTGGCACTTAGGCTCCTGTGACACCAGTGTGCGGCCACATAGCTTCCTTATCCATAGTGTATTTTTCTAGATGTCTAATCTCGCCATTCTTCAGTTTAAGGAGTTTACTGCCGCTTAAAAAAAAAATATATATAATAATAATATAATATTCAGTTTGATGATCAAACAATATTTTTCTTCATATTTTCTTACTATGAAAATATTTTCACTACCATGCAAAACCAAAAGTTATATTTATTCTAACTGTATCTTTTACACACTTTTCAAATTTCAATATGTTATTAGAGTATATATTAAGAGTTCCTGTCATTTTTGTTGTTTTGATATGTCAAATAATGCAGGGGCTATAGGTTTTCTTAGGCTCAGGTGGCCAGACAAGGGTGGCCGTTAGGATACAGGCAACCCTACCCAAGTAATTGTTCAAGCGTGCAAGAGTAGCTTTGATTTTGTATATCTTTAAGTATGGCATCAATTTGTGCCGTATTTGGTAATAATTTTGCTTCACTGTATAGAGAAAAACTATGGGTCAGCACGATACCACTACCTGCGGTCAGAGGATGGAGGTGGCTGTGCGGACATGCTGGTGGAACTTCATTTATTAAGAGGCTACCCTTCAGAAGTGGATCTCTTTCTTACACAGGCCGTCCTTCAGTAAGTACTGGTATTGATAGTGTTTTTTTGCTTTTGTGTTTTGAGAGGAATTTTTTAAGACAAATGGATAGTGTGAAAGCCACCCATAGAGCATGGGAAATATTAAGGTATGAATGGTAGCTCTCCTAATATAGCTTCCATCAAATTTTTAAAGATTTTTGTAGACAGAGTAGGAGTAAGGGAGAAAAACATTTTTTTCTGGTATCTGGGTATTTTGTATTTTTGGAAACAGGGAAATGACAATGTTTGTATGTATTGCAGAGTAAGTAGATGCTGTGCAACAATGTTATTTCAACAGAAGAAAAAACGGATTAGCAAGATTTGTGTTCTTTTTGTTTTTCAGGTATTTGTGTCTGCAGAAAAAGGTGGCAGCATCAGAGGTGTTTGAGACTTACACCAAAAAACACCCAAACATCACTAAGCAGCGTGGGCCACCTTTTCTCCTGCCCCTTCTGAACTTTTTGTGGCTTCTGCTTTCAACTATTGAAAGGCGAGTTCCAAAGAATTACATATCGAATGCTTCTGTGATCTGATTTGTATGTAGTTATTTGGGTATTCCCAGTTGAGAAATTAGCCTTGAACTTAATACTTGTTTTAGAATAATATTATTGTACAGTATATGGTGTTTTGTAGGGCTGATGGCAGTTTAAAAATAGACATAAAGCTATTATTTGGTTGTTCTCTTTAATGAGAACATGTATAAAATGTATTTTCAAGTTAATATTTTTGGGTGTGTGGAACGGATTAATTAAATTTACATTATTTCTTGTGGGAAAATTTGTTTCACTTCTCGGGAATGTGGTTGACCAAGTTGACTGAGGTTGGATGGCAGTTTCTTTTGCCTAACCTAACCAAACATTTCTGAACATGACATTAGTGTAGATGACCATCATAGGCAGGTTGGGGTTAGCCCCAGTGTTCCCCTTTAATAGGATTGGTTCCTGTTGTGACTCCCAACAACTCCTGTGAGGCTGAAATAGAAGTTTGATTTTCCAGAATGTCTTAAAACAGATTTTCAGCTGTTCATTACACATACACAATGTTATTATAATGGTGCGTCAAAGTAACAATAGTAAAAATAACGTTGTGATTACCTTGCGTGTTAGCTGGGTTTCAGAGTGAAAGAGACAGAGAATATGTCAGGGTGGAATCTTTCCCCCCCCCCCCCATAAAAAAAAAAAAAAAAAAAATTGATATAGACTATGGATCAAGATGCCAAAAAAAAAAAAGAAGTAAGTTTTAGGCATATTACATGCCTCAAGTAATGCAACATATTGTAGACAAATGGCTAATGGTATACAAACAATATATGAGTAGTGTCATACAACATCACGAGTGCCATTGCCAACATTAATGCTGCGTGGCATGAAGTGATTCGGACAACATTAAATGCATGCTGGATGAACACTAGATAGAATGTAAGAATGACTATGTTGATTTTTGAGAATCACTTAACGATATACATCCAAAAATGGTCAAACGTGTCATAAATGCTGGATGCCATGAAGCGGATGAGGCTGATGTTGTGTAAGTGCTGTTCACTCATGGTAGAGACCCAACAAATGCAGAATTTGTTCAGCTATGAAATTAGCTAATTTCAGATAATGTTCTTGTAATGTAGCTCCCAAGACACCTGGAACAATTCTTACCCTGTACTCTGCTAGACTTGGCTAAAGTTTGCAAATATACCAAAGTATTATTAGCCAATTATGATCAGAAAGGTAACATTGGAAAATGTTTTATTAATACAGTGTTAATGCCAGTCCTTCTCACAAACTGGATTTCATATGTGGTAAGTATCGTGCTCTGCATTGTTGTTAATTTTTTGTTTTTTTAGATATTTGTTAATGAAATATTACTCTTGATTTATGAAGGGATTGATACTTAGAGCTTGATCCTCCGATCAAGTTAGGTGGACGGGAGAGGGTGTGGGAGTGGAATGTTGAAGCCGTTATCATTCCACTGTTCATAGAGGCCTAGTTTTTAATGAGGCAATGTGCTAATAAATTCCAAAGTGATATCATTGTAATTAAATCTAGACTGATGTCTATCACATTTTGTATCCATCAATTCCTGCTTAACCACCGTGATGCACCGAGTTTATTGTGACATTCACCCGGTGCGCATGAAATAGTATTCCCCCAAAATTTTGTTGTTGTTTGTAAAATGATAAATGCTCTTCATTACAGTACTTGGATTTTCAAATTACCTGACTTTGAATTACCGAGGCCCTACTGTACGTGGAAAACCCCACACGTGCTGAATTTTTGTTAGAAACAAAGTTGAACTTTTGCAGCGTGGGGATTGATCATATGGGAATATTGTATATTATGTTTGTAAGTGATACTTTTACTGTATTTTGCAGTGGGAAGGTGGCCTACTTTACAGTCTTGTGTGAACAGTATCAACCTAGTTTAAAGAGAGATCCTACCTACCGTGAGTACTTGGATCGCATTGGACAACTCTTCTTCAATTTACCAGCACCCAGACCCCAGCATGGTCCAGGGGGAATTTTTGGTAAGAAATCGCAATGTTTGGGATTTGAGAAAAATTTAGTTTTATTGCTTTACAATTTGGGGAAAAATATGTCATGGTATAGTCTGCCATGCTTTTTCTGTCAGTGGTAAAACACATGCTTGAGTTTTCTAAGCTACTGTCCACTATTTAGTTTGCTGTATTTTCTATTCTTGATCATATATAATGCAAAGATGAATTTCTTTTGAGTTATATTATAGAGATTTATCTTTTCTAACAATGTGTAGTAGTTTTAAGTGTAAAGAAAATGACATTTCGAATAAGGATATTTTTGTAAACTTTTTTTTAAATATATTTGTTTGTAAATTACTGTTGATCCACATGATTTTTCTGGGGAGAGCCCCATCAGCTACCTGAAGCTATCATACACTGATCAGTGCCATCAGTCGCCGAGTTTTATTGGCCTACTGGGAATCACGAGCCAGAACCTGGCTCCCTTCAAAGGCACAGGGAGTGCTAGTCTATGGAAACTTGACAATTAAAAGTTAATTATACTTGCCACCTTAACCACTGCACTGTGCAAAACAAAAAAATGCTCTTTTGAGAGTTGTCCATTTTTTTGTTCTCTACGTGTCGTTGTTTTACACACCAAGCAATCACGTTGGGCTATTGCACGCTTCACACCAGGTGGCAAATACTTAAGTTTGTGTGCTAGGAAGCCTTCAGTGTGAGCGAGGCGTGGAGTACCAGCATGCTGCAACAGTGGGTTTATGATGGGCCGCTGAATACCTGGGACATCTTTTGCAAACTTTCCTAATAACTGTATTGCAGCATCAAATACAAAGTCACGGAAAGTGGGCTTACGTCCAGTTCTCACAAGGTACATGTTGAAACAGTTCAGCATGCTCATGTCCACAAGATGGAAGAACACTTTTTTCGTCCACCTACATGTCTTCCGCACACACTCTGCAGTGCCAATCATCATGTCTGATTTATCAATCAACCGCATGTTGATATTATAGTCTAAAACACAGTCTGGCTTATATAGTGGTGCGTTTGTTTTATGGCTCACTTTCCCACTGTTCACCATTGTTCCATCATGAATTGTTGTCAACAAGTTCACCTCTCTTTTGTCTTTCCACCGAACTGACAGAATGTTATCACTTTTCCTTCTCTGACACTCACCAACTGCAATGTCGTTGTCAAACACAGGCATTTCCCTTCGTTGTGGCTTTACTGTACCAACCAATCCGGTTCTATTTTCTAGCAAGAACCGAGCTAGCAAGGGACTTGTATAGTAATTATCTGTGTATAAAATGTGTCCCTTGTTCATCCACGGAGCCATGATGGTCTTCACTACACTCCCCGAGAATCCATGTTCGTCGTTACCGGGAATGTCTACATCACTAGCCGAGTACAGAATCATGTGTAACACGTATCCTGTCTCACAATCACAAAGAACAAAAAATTTCAGGCCAAATCGGTTTCGTTTTGAGGGAATGTACTGTTTGAATGGAACACGTCCCTTGAAAAGTATGAGAGATTCATCAACCACCAGCTTCTGTGCTGGTACGTAAAAATCTCTGAATTTTCCAATAACATCGTTCATGTAGTGCCTCACTCGCCACAGTCTATCATCAGGTGTTCGGTCCTGAACACTTCCAAAATGTAGACACCTGAGGAGTATCTGAAACCTGTCTCGTGACATATATTTCCCGAATAAAGGTGTTGGTATTGTCTTGTCCTTGCTCCAATAGTCATTTATTGCATGTTTGTGACAGTGCTTCATCAACAAACAGAGTGCCAAAAACACATACATTTCCGCCACTGTGGTATTTTTCCAACGCTGCAGTCGTGAAAATTCTGTGATTTCCCTCTCAATCAGGTAAGCAGCATGCAGGTTCGTTTGGTGTACAATGTATTCCATGAGTGGTTCATCATAGAATGCTGTAAAATATTCCATCTCAGCCATGTCCTCACCTTGATTAGGGAAAAGGTTTGTAATCCCTACATCTTTATCGTCAAAGTGAGGAATATTAGGAATAAAATCGTCACCATCACTCCACTCAAGTACACCAGGCGTCCTGCGAGATGCAGAGGAAACACGGCGAGGAAGCGATGCATTAATTAGGCTATATTTTAATGCTTTTAATGTTTTCATCACTCTGTGTTTTGAAATGAAAATACTGTAATTGACTTTGGAAACATTTTGACATTAACTTTACCTGAACATTTATAAAAACAACACAAATATGTCCTTAACAATTGCATCATGAAGGTTTTGCCAAAAACAGGTGCGCAGTGCAGGGGATAAGGAAAGCATCCAGAAAGTTAGGTGAACCCAAACAAACTACTGCATGGTTTACAAATGAGACTGCAGCCTCAAAATTGCCAAAAGAACTTCCCCCAACAATGAAAAGAAACCACCAAATTGTTTGTGAAACTAGCATTTGCTAGTTTGCCCCACCTTCCCCCTCATTTTGGGGAAAAAGTAGCATGTTACACCAGCCTATACATGTTACACCAGCCTATACATGTTACACCAGCCTATACATGTTACACCACTCGCAGTTCTATCAGATGCGTGCCCTGGTGCTGTTTTGGGCTGTTGAG